GTTTTTAAGCCATTTTACCATGATGGCCTAGGAAATTCCAAATTGCAAAAGTTAGGCCACCATGTTAAAATGGCGATTTTTCGCCTAGAAATAGTTCCTAGGGTATTTTCTTGGCCATTTAGAATTGCGTGGCCTAGCTTTTTTTTTTGGATTTCTAGGCCATCTATGCCCTAATCAAAAAAAAAGAGGTTTCTAGGTCATTTTAAGCTCAAAATCAACCTAAAATGACCCAATTTTCAGGAAGTACCAATTCTGTGCCACGTGGCATCAGCTCAACGTCTTCTGGCGCCACGTCATCTGGATCTGGAGGCGTTTTCGGCATCGATTGGTCAAAATGGTTTCCCCCACTGACGTCACGATCTTTGCTCTCACACTATCTCCCGGCGTCCGGTGCCGTCTCGCACACACTCTACACTGTTCACTTGTTCAGTCCGAATATCATTTCCAGGTGAGTAGTGGACATCCGGACACACAGATCTACAGAAAACAGGAGAAAATGGGCGAAAACGAGCGATTTTGAGCCAAAAATGGGTCATTTTGAGCTGATTTTCATTGAAATTAGGCTATTTCAAGATATTTTAAGCCTGAAAAAGGCCAAAAATAGTTTGATGTGCAGGTTTTCTACAGTAACCCCCTTTTGAATTTTGCAGCATCTTCCCAACTGGGGATCTGGCGGTGAGCAATACGATTCTGTTCAATGCGAACGTGGGACTCGGCTTCTACGTGTATTTCAGAAGACATCTGCATCGTGTCAATCCGTGGGAACGAGTGGAATTCAGGTATAGATGGCCTAGAAAAAGCTAGGCCACCACTCAAAAATAGCCTAAAAATCTCGGATTTTTGGCGTTTTGATGGCCTAAAAAGCTGAAAAAAGTTGGTGGCCTAGAAAACCCCAACTTGCAAAAGTTAGGCCATCATGCTAAAATGGCCTAGAAAACCCACAAGATGCGTTTTAGGTCATTTCTAGGCCATTTAGCATGGTGGCCTAGAAAACTCCAACTTGCAAAAGTTAGGCCATCATGCTAAAATGGCCTAGAAAACCCACAAGATGCGTTTTAGGTCATTTCTAGGCCATTTAACATGGTGGCCTAGAAAACTCCAACTTGCAAAAGTTAGGCCATCATGCTAAAATGGCCTAGAAAACCCACAAGATGCGTTTTAGGTCATTTCTAGGCCATTTAGCATGGTGGCCTAGAAAACTCCAACTTGCAAAAGATAGGCCATCATGCTAAAATGGCCTAGAAAACACCACAGGACTGTTTCTAGTCACTTCTGTGCGAAAACCCGTTGGTGGCCTAGAAATTCCACGTTTGAAAAAGTTAGGCCGCCATATTAAAACAGGTTAAACACACGCTAGGGTCATTTCTAGGTCATTTAGCATGGTGGTCTAGAAAACTTCTACTTGCAAAAGTTAGGCCACCATGGCCCTAGAAACCACATTTTTCAGAAAGTTAGGTCACCATCAATTCCCTATGGCCTAGAATTCCCCCTAAATGTTTCTCTTCCAGCGTCCTCTCGTCCACACTGTTCAATTTCGGAAGTCTCCTGGCTGCGGTCCTCATCAAAGCCCTATTCCCAACGAAGACGCCAACATGGCTGAAATCGCTCACGGCTACCGTACTCAGTGGATATCTCCTATCACGTGCCGCCAAATATATGGGCCTACTGGATCATCGCGCGTCTGGAAGAGGCTCGGTGTCGCCGGCGAGAAGGTAAGGGCGACACATTTTGTGTGATAACCAAAAAATCGATAATTTTAACCTCAAAAATTACCTAGAACGCCGCAAATTTAGGCCAGAATTCGAATTCTGGCCTAGAAATCTCATTTTCAAGAAAGTTAGGCCATCGTGGCCTAGAAATGCCGAAAGTTAGGCCATCTTTTTTGGTAAAGATTCCAGAAATTACAATTTCTCATGAATTTTTCCGTGCATGCATTTTTTCTTGTAGCTTTTGTGATTTTTCGTGCTATAACTTTGCCGATAGATGTGCGAAAATCGGAATTTTGCGAAATTTTCGAACTGCGACGTTTTAGAACTGTGACGTTTCAGAACCGTGTCATTTTAAAACCACGACATTTTAGAACCCTTACTTTTCAGAACCACGACATTTTAGATCTGCGATGTTATAGAACTGCGACATTTTAGAACCACGACGTTTTAGAACCGCGACATTTTAGAACCGAGACGTTTCAGAACTATGACGTTTAAGAACTGCGACGTTTTAGAACTGTGACGTTTTAGAACCCTTACTTTTCAGAACCACGACATTTTAGATCTGCGATGTTATAGAACTGCGACATTTTAGAACCACGACGTTTTAGAACCGAGACATTTTAGAACCGAGACGTTTCAGAGCTATGACGTTTTAGAACTGTGACGTTTTTGAACTGTGTCGTATTAGAACTGCGATGTTCTAGAACCGTGACATTTTAGAACCGTGACGTCTTAGAACCTCGACGTTTTAAAACCACCACGTTTTAGAACCAAGACATTTCAGAACCAAGACATTTTAGAACCACGGTGTTTCAGAAGTATGACATTTTAGAACCGAGACGTTTCAGAACTGCGACTTTTGAGAACCAAGAAATTTTGGAATCGCGACTTTATATAACCGGACGGTTTAGAACTATGAAGTTTCAGAATCATGACGTTTTAGAACCACGACATTTGAGAACAACGGCAGGTTATAGAACCGAAACGTTTCATAACCGCGACGTTACAGAACTCTGACGATTTGGAACCGCGACGTTTCAGAACCGCGACAAATCAGAACCGATGCGTTTCGAAACCGTGATGTTTTAGAACTCTGACATTTTAGAACAGCGGCTTTTTGTAACTGCGACATCTTAGAACCGAGTCGTTTCACAACCACGACATTTTAGAACCGTGTGAACAAAAATTACCATTTTCATCCTAGTTTTTTGCTCAGAATCGGCCTCATTCGTGTTTTTGAATGAATTTAGACCTGAAAAATCGAAATTTTCCAGCCAAAATTAGTCTAGAAATTGAAAAAAATTTCTGGAAATTTTTCTGAAAAATTCCAAAAAAGAAATCAATTTTTTCAATTTTCCTCTGTTCCTCTCACCCTATCTGAAATTCGAGAAATTTCTGAAAATCTGAAAATCTGAAAATTCTAGCGTGCGGTCGTCGCCACGACACACTGCTCAATCGCTGATTGCTCATCAGAATCCGAATCAGAAGACGCCGTCGTCGTCGTCGTCACCACCGCCGTCAGTGACGTCATCTGGATTCTTCTCCACGTCTCCACAGACTCCACCCACCACCACGCTGCCTCTGGAGACGTCAAATGGAGGACATCTGAAGATGACGTGGCAACCAATGACGCCTTCAGCCACTGAACCATCGGAATTTGAGACGTCAGATTTTGGGGCTTCAGAAGACGTCGGGGATTCAGAAGACGTCGATTTTCGGCGGCCAACATCAAATTATCGCTATTTGCACTCGTATGCGCTGAATAACCTTGGAAATCCTTATCAGAATCAGAAGACGGGCCAGACGATTCTACGTCGAACGACGATGAATTCTGGAGGGATTCAGAAGACGTCAAATCAATCGATATCTTTTGTGACCCCAGAACCATCCCTGATAAACCACGCCCCCTACACCCCGCCCCCTTCACGTCTTCAGAATTCTAAGACGACGTCATCTGGAAAATCTGAAAAATCCAGAAGACGTCAAATTCGAAAAAATAACGAAATTGACGATTTCGATAAGATTCTAGACTTCTGTCAAAGCCACGCCCCCTTTTTCATTGTACCCATTGCCCTGGGCTGCTGGGCGACAGGTACAGTACCCCTGATTGGTGCCACGTGGCAATTTTTGTTTTATTGAATGAACAATTTTTTTCATTGGTCAGTTTTAGAAAAATCCAACAAAAAAATTGGAAATTTTAAAATTTTTTTTAATTGGCCAATTAACTTTTTTCGCCAATTAAAAAATTTATTTTCCCGCATTTTTTCTTCTATCCCTCCCATATGCTATAATTATACCGGTAGAGAATTTTTATTGTAATAAAGCCTTAATTACCCCCCCCCTCTCCCGCCTAATTAGCGCTGATTGGACCAATTAATTGTGATTTTTAGCATTTTTTGGATCAATGATCAATGAATCTTTATTCCCCCATTTTTCAAACTGGAAAAAAAATAAAAAATCTGGAATCTTTGCCAAAAAAAATTGGAATTAATTAGCTATAATTAGGGATAGGGAATATTTTCCAAGAATCTGAAAAATATTTTTTTAAAAAATTAGACTAATTACCACTAATTACCACAGCAATTAGTGCCCCCCCCCAATTAACCAATTAAACAACCCCTAATTAGTTTTCCAGACGTCTAAACTTTTAGCATTCCACCGCCACCACCCGAATCGCCAATTCAACAGGTCAATGGCTACGGTATCCACCATCAAAATGGGAATGTTCATCACTAATTGGGCAATTAAGGAATTTGGGCTAATTATCGATTTTTTGAAATTTTGCATTTTTTGGCTTATCTTAATTTCCCCCTTCTCTCTACCAATTTTTGGTCTTAATTGCTTGTTTCTCTGCCCCCTGATTAGTCCTAATTTGCGTTAATTGGGCAATTAAATCTTTTTCCTCCAATTTTTCTGATTTTTGCAAAAAAAACAGTGTTTTCCCCCCATTTTTCGGCATTTCTTTCTCTCTCCTAATTGATCCTCTCTCCTCTTTAATTAGGCCTAATTAGTTTGTTAATTACCCAATTTTTTTTTGCAATTTTTCGTGTTTTTTCTCACTACCGAGTTTCCTTCTTTTTGAATTTTTTTTTCCCCGAATAAATTGCTCAGACTTAATTACAAGTTATTTATGAACGAAAATTTATCCCCAATTTCCAGAAAAATCACTTTTTTTGCCTGAAAATTAAAGATCCTCAAAATACCATTGTGTAATTCTCATTTTGAAGCTCATGATGAGCTATAAACAGTGAAAAACAGCAAAAACACAAAAAATAGCTTTTAAGTTTAAAAAAAATTGAAAATCACAAAATATCGAACAAGTGAAAAAATCTCGGACTACTGTATTATTTGTGATAGCACTCTGTTCTGGAAATGTTTAATGAATTCGAATAGAGCTTGTCGAGAGCTCCAAAATGAGCCCGAACACGACTAGGCTCCGCCCACTTTCATTTTTCCGACGCGTTGCGGTCGTGCGTCGCGTGTCTCGGCGAAAATTCAAAATGGGCGGAGCCTAGTCGTGTTTGGGCTCATTTTGAAGCTCTCAACGTACTGAATTCAAATTTCGTAGTCTTTTCAAGACATGTTCATTCCTGAGATGAGGATGATGAGTTTTATTTTTGAAAAAAAATTTTTTTTGGAGAAATCGGAATTTAAAAGATAAACAAATTTATTGAATAATGAAAATTGTGACAAAAAATAATGAAAAATATAAAATCTCTGTATTTTAAGTCATATTTTTAGAGAAAATTGGGAAAAATAACTGAAATTTTTTGAAAAATTAGGAATTACAAAAAAAAATAGCAGGGGGATTGGTTGTTTTGAAGGGGCTCAAAATAGGTGAAGACATGGAAAAATCGATAATCGATTTTCGAAAAAAATTAGGTCTCTAGGCGTGATTTCGGCAGAATGGTTGGCCATTTTTGGCGAAGAAGCTCTCGCCCTCGAGGTTGATATTGCAGCGCTGAAAATAATGAAAGGTGTGGACATCTGGACAGACAGACACATAGAAAATTTGATTTGAAATTTCGAGGGCTTCAAAATGAACCTAAATTTGTCAAAATTGAACAACTAGAAAATATTTTATGGGATTTTGAAAATTTTGAAATTCCAAAAAAAAATGTTTTTGGATTTTTTTTTCAAAAATCTTTAACTTTTTTTCAAATTGACCAATTTTTGTAAACTTAGGCTTATTTTAAAGCTCATAACATGAAAAATCTGAAAATCGAAATTTCAAACTAAAATCTCAAATTTAAGTTTTCAAAATCGAATTTCCAAGAAGTATACCTAAATTTTCCTTATTTCCCTCATAACTCCCCTCCCGCTTATCCAATTTCGCCAATCTTTAGCTCATTCGGACCCCCAAAACCCCAAAAATACAGTAATCCCCTCAAAAAACCTACCGCACAGGTAAAACAATTCGAATGGAACGCATTTCCCAGCGCCTCGACCCATCGATCGCCGGCCTCAATCGGATAGCGGCAACTGACGCACTTCGTGGTGAACAGCGCGTTCCAGTCTTGCTCGCAGTACGGTAGCCCCGCCTCCAAATAGAATGCACTGTTGCCGAACGGTTTTTGACAGTGGGCACACGTGAAACAGGTCGGATGCCATTTTTTCTGAAAAATTCGAGTTTTTGAGCCATTTTGGGAGCCAAAAGTCACAAAACCCCCACCTGAAGAGCATTCAAACAATCAGAAATGATGGATTTCGAGCATTTGGAGCATTTTGGAGCAATGTGCTGCTCGAAACAAGATTCACAGAACTTCTGACCATCTTCCTCCACGAATCCACACTCCAGAAGACGGCGACGGCACGACGAGTTGGCACAGACAAAGTGCTCCGGGCACCAAGACTTTCCGGCGGCCAGGACGAACGCGCCGCTGAATTTGTTGAATTTGAATCTGGAAAATGAAATGGATTTGGCACATTTTGAGCTTTAAAATGAGCTAAAATTCTTGAAAAACGCTTGAGAATGAAGAAGGTTGAATGATTTTTAAGCTAGCAAACTTTGCAGCCGGGTATCTCAAAAACTAGTAAAGCTAGCAGAAAGCTGTCAACAACAAAATTGCTTAGCATAAAACTTAGTACATTTTTGTAGTTTACAACTTTTTGATAGCTACCGTAGTTTTGGAGTTATGTGTCTTTAAAGTTAAGCGAATCAACGACTACGCAGCGCGGCGCCCCTCCCCTTGTCGGCCGCTAAGAGACGCAGAGAAACGAGATCGCTCTAGCTTTTCTGCGTCTCCACAGGCAGCATCAAGGCGGATGTTTCACAAAAATTTGAAAATTTGAGTTCAGCACATTTTCAGCTTCAAAATGAGACAAAATTCTTGAAAAATTCGTGAGAATGAAGAAGTTAATCGAGTATTTGCTGTTTTTTAAGCTAGCAAACTTTGGAGGCGCGTATCTCAAAAACTAAGAAAGCTACAAAAAAGGTGCCAATTGCTAAATTGCTCAGCATAAAATTTCACACATTTTTGCAGTTTACACTTTTTCGATAGCTACTGTAGTTTATGAGATATAAGCCTTTAAACTAAGAGAGCGGCGACTCTTCCCTCGTCGACGAGGAGACGCAGAGAAGCGAGAGCGCGCTATCTTCTCTGCGTCTCCCTTTGCCAAAACTTTAGAGGCGCATATCTCAAAAACTAAAATAGCTATCAAAAAGTTGTCGACTACAAAATTGCTCAGCATAAAATTTCACATATTTTCTCAGTTGACAACTTTTATCTAGCTCTTTCAGTTTTCGAGATATTTTCAAAATAAAAAACCTTACCGAATCTGATTCTTGCATGCCTCACAATACGGTACACGTCCTCCATTTTGCTGCTGAGTTGTGGTGGTTGTTGTGGTCAAATGTCCGGCTTGCGGAGCATCCCCATTAGTCGTCGTGCGCTCGAAACTAGTCTTCGTGTAGGAGGAGCCTGAATTTTGGCGCGAAATTTGAAATTTTTCTCCTAGTTTGAAAGAGCGCTCCATTAAACAAATTTATTCAAAAAACACATTAGAAAATCCTAAATTATCAAATTTCTTCTCTTTTTTTTGCTCTCCATTCGTTGTCCCCTATCGCCATTGGACTAAAAAATTCAAATTGTTTAATGGAGCGCACATGCTAGGCTAATAAACTAGATTAGTAAAAATCACTTACACAAACTCAATATATAATCTAAAAAATCTATCAAAAAACTGTCAACTGCGAAATTGCTCAGCTTAAAATTTTACTCATTTTTGTTGTTTAAAGTTTCCTTCTAGCTACAGTAGTTCTCGAGATATGCGTCTTTGAAGTTGACGCGCCTTCCTGGCCGAGAGGATGAGGGGAGACGCAGAGAAACGAGACTGCTCTCGTCGTCGGCGTATCCTCCCTTGGCGTTCAACTTTAAAGGCGCATATCTCGAGAACTACAGTAGCTAGAGAGAAACTAAAAACTACAAAAATGTGTGAAATTTTATGCTGAGCAATTTGTCAGTTGACAATTTTCTGCTATCTTATCTAGATTTTGAGATAAAAACCGGTTTCTGAAGCTATGGTTTTAACACTAAATTAGGCATTAAAAACATGAAATTTAGTAATTTCAAAGCAATTAAAAAAGCCACACCTTGTAAATTTCCATTTCCATTATCTCCAACACCATTCTTATCACTGATCATCACCTGGCCAAGGCGGGCAGCTAAGAAGTTTCTCGAGTCTTCCGCCGAAGAATCTGAGCGTCCCGAAGGTTTTCGAATCGAATAGAACTCATCAAGGACATCGTGCAAACTAAACAGAAGTTAGTAGACATATAGAAACGTAGAACATGGACCAACATAAATTATTTTTCTTACCTCTGCGTCTCCACAGCCCCCTCTCTATCCGGTTGATAAGATTCAAAAGGGAAAACCTTGCGCTCCGGAGGGGGCGGAGCCTGTCCGAGGATCGGTAATTGCTCCAAATCGTCTAGAACCTTCTTCCGGAGCTCAGCTACACGGTCACCAGCGATGCTTGGCTCTGGGGTGTCCTCCACGGGCCGGAGATTTTGTAAATATACAATTGCGGACTCTAGAAGAGTGCTCAGCTGAGTTTGGGTTTGTTCCAGCTCACTTTGATGGCGAGCAATGCACTCGATGGCACGAACTCGATCGTCGTCTTCCATTTCTCGAAGACCTAGTTTTTAAATTTGAATGATACAATTTTGGCGCATTAAAATGAGCTCAAAATCGGGAGAATCGAGCTAGGCAACTTTAAAGGCGCATATCTCAAAAACTAGAGTAGCTACCAAAAAAGTGTCAACTATGAAAATGTTTAAATTTTAATTTTACATACTTTTGCATTTAACAAATTTTGACTAGTTACCGTAGTTTTTGAGATATGCGCCTTTAAACGTTTTAGGCTCTGACTACAAGAGGGTGCGCTTCTGAAAAGTTTAAAAGCCCATAAGTCAAAAACTACAGTAGCTATAAAAAAGTTGTCTACTACGAAAAAGTTGAAAATGTAATTTTACACATTTTTGCAGTAATCAATTTTCTGCAGGGTACTGTAGTTGTGTAGATATGCGCCTTTAAAGTGAAAGGTGCGCTAGAGACGCGGCGACACAGGAGAGAGAGGAAGAGGCGCAGAGACGCGAGACAATCACTTTTTCGAAAATTTTGCAAAATGCAATAGTTATACTGTAATAGTGATAAATAATAATTGCTAAAAATTCTGGAGAAAATAAGAAAAACATGAACTATAGGAGTTTTTCGAAAAATTTTAAAAAATAGTTTTTTTGGAATTTTTGGAATTTCCAAATTTTGGTTTTTTACAAATTTCAGCGAAATTTCGAATTTATATCAATCAAATTATTTGATTAATGACGCTCTTTTCACCAAAAATACAAGAGACGCAGACATCCTAGACAGTCTCTCTTCTCTGCGCCTCTTCTCAAGTCTAAAAATATAAAGGCGCATATCTCGCAAACTAAAAAAACTAGAACATTTTTGTTAACTATAAAAATATGTGAAATTTTATGCTGAGCAATTTTGCAGTTGACATCTTTTTGATAGCTATTTTAGTTTTTGAGATATGCGCCTTTAAAGCTAAGCGGGTCGGCGCCCCTCCCTATGTCGACTGCGCGGAGACGCAGAGAAGCGAGACTACTCTCGTTTCTCTACGTCTCTTTTCAACTTTGAAGACACATATCTCACGAACCATAAAAGCTATCAGAAAGTTGTCAGTTATAAAAATGTGTGAAATTAAATTTTACGCAAATTGACATTTTCAAAAGTTTTCTAGCTACAGTAGTTTTTGAGTTATGCTCCTTTAAACTCGGGGGTTTTAAAGCCGCATATCTCAAAAACCATAAGACCTATAAAAATTTTTGAATTAACATTTTTTTCTTGCATAAATGTTCTAAATTTCGTTTTGCAAATTTTAGACTAATATTGCTTCTATCAACAGTATCTTTTACCTTGTAGTCTCTCATTAAGCGCTGCCACTATCATAAGATCCCTCTCTGTCTGCGCATCGTCATCCAGAAGTTCCATGGCTCGTTGTCTCCACAATTGCTCAGCTTCTCCTCCTCCTTGCGATTTTCCAACGACTCGAATTTTCGATGGCCTAGAAACCTCCAGAATTTCCTCTTCCTCGATTTCGAAAGTTGCCACGTCATCAATCATTTCCGACTCGTCACCATCATAAGTCGCGGCTTTCAACAATGAGCAATCGTCAATTTCCTCTGTTAAGATGTCCGATTCATCAATTATATCCGCCGAATCCTTCCATTCCGTTTTGGGGATTACTGTAGGACTCGTTTTCGAGAAATCCACTTTTTTGAAATGTTTAGGGTCCCTTCTTACTGTAGTTGTAGGGGTGGGCGGGGCTTCATGAGTTTCGTGATAGTGGGCGGAGCTTAAAAATGGCTTTGGGGATACTGTAAGTGGTCGTGGTCCCGTTGGTTCGTGAATTTTGATTGATCCTGGATTATAAGAGTATTCTGATGGGCGGCCCACTTGGTCCATAAGGGCGGTGTGATCCAAAAGGGGCGGGGTTTGTTCCCTGGGTTGGAAAGTGGGCGGATCTTCGAATTTTTGGGGCGGAGCCTGGAGAGGCGGAGTTTCAATTTTTGGGGCGGAGCCTGGAGAGGCGGAGCCTGCTCTTTATGCTGAGCTGAGCGAGTGAGCTGGGCCTTAAACTTCGGAACATCATGAGAAGTGGGCGGGGCCTCATATCTTGTGGGCGAAGCCTGTTCTCTTTGCTGAACAGATCGAGGGGGCGTGGTCTCATGAGAAGTGGGCGGAGCTTCGTATGGACGATCGATTTTGAAAGTGGGCGGAGCCTGGTCGTCCGATGACCTAAAAGCGGCCGGAGCCTGATTTCTAAAAGTGGGCGGAGCCTGATTTTCCGAGAAACCAAAAGTGGGTGGAGCTTGAGTGGGAGTGGCCTCCTTCACCTTAATCGGACTTGTCGCCGCCTCCACTGATACTGTAGGTACCGTAATCTTCTCATTTTTCCTGTGCAATCGAATCGATGGAATTGGAGACGTACTCTGATCGTGTACTTGAGCAGTGGGCGGAGCCAAATTTGTGGGCGGGGCCGCCGAGAATCGGGTTACTGTAGTTTGCAGTTCCGTGGATGTGGTTATATTAGCGTCGGAGCTGCGAACAATGTAGGATCGAACCGGGGAGAGTTCCGGGGACCTTGGAAGTGGAATGGGCGGAGCTTGAGAAGGGGGCGGAGCTTGGAAAGGCACTGGTGTCGCGGTTTTGGAGATTTGAATTGGGGGCGGCGTCGCATATTTTGGAATCGGCTTAAAAATTCCATCGGAGGGCTCGGAGGTCACTTTTGCGGGGCTCGGGGAGCGTACAGGGCTGTGGATTACGGTCCAGTGAATTTGACTTTTTATTTTTGGAGGCTACGCCCCTTTAGGCTCCGCCCCTTTATCCTCCCCCTTTACATCTACTCGAAGCTCTGCCTCTTTTCTCTTCCTATGCTCCTCAAACGCCTCTTTGACTTTCTCCTTACTGATATTTGATGCCCTTCTGGCTTTTCGTTTTGACTCCGCCCCTTTTTTAGGTTCAGCGCCTTTAGGCTCCGCCCCTTTCGCCGCCTCCACTTACTTAATTAGTGCTGCTAGATCTTCTCCATAATTTAATTTCTCTTTCTCTTTCTTGAGCGCATCTGCCGGATCAATTTGCCAATATCGATTTGTGGGCGGAGCCTGTGGTGGAGGCCATTGACGTGGCACTTTTCCGGTGCGTCGTGGGGAGACTGCAGATCGAACAGAGTCTGGGACTCGGGAAGACGGATTTTCTGGAAATTTTAGGACAAATGGACATGGACAAGGACAAGGACAAGTTTAGGACAAAGCTTTGGGCAAGACTTGGACAAGACAAATTTTGTTTGAAATTAGACAAAAAACCGACAAAAAATCCCGAACAAAATCACCCAAAAACTTAGAGATGTCCCAAAAACAAATTCAAAAAAATTATTTTTTTTTCAAAAATTCAAAAAACCCCAAAAAGTAGACTAACCATGAGACGGTGGCGGATTCGATGGCACTGGTGGCGGAGCCGTTTGTCTCGAGCCTTGAGAAAATTGAGATGGAGCCGGCGACAGGCGATTTGGGTCGTAGTGGGTCCCGCCGGGTCCCACGCCCCCGCCATAGGTTACGGTCTTTGAGAGGTCCGCACCGAAAGCCGCGTTTGGCACGCCGCGTTGAGCTGGGCTGAAAAAAAAAATTTCAGACAAAACACAAAAAAAGATGAATGTTCTAGCACAATTTTGGGCCGAAATAGGAGTTTTTGTAATTTTTTTGAAAATTCCAAAAAAAATTTTTTCGAATTTTTAAAACCTATTTTATATCACTCGAAAGCTCGAAAAATTTCCTATAAAACTTTGCAATTCACATCGAATTTGGTTGTCGTTTAAGCGAGTTATGCGCCTTTAAAGTTTGCCGAAGAGACGCAGACAACGAGAGCGCTCTCGTTTCTCTGCGCCTCCTCGCGGCCGGCAGAGCGAGAGGCGTCGCTCCCTCTTTAAAGGCGCACATCTCAAAAACTAAAAGAGCTACAGAAGAGTTGTCAACTACAAAAATGAGTAAAATTTTATGCTGAGCAATTTATCAGTTGACAACTTTTTTCTAGTCTTTGTAGTTTTTGAGATAAATGCACATTTTTAAATGTGATGCTGCGACTCTATCATTTTCATTCATTTTCAGCCAAATTGCTGTGCTGGAAATTTAATTTTGAATTTAAAATCAATCTAACAATAGAGAACATTTTTTAAAAAACCCAAAAAAAGATTAGTGTTCTAGATCGATTTTGTGCCGAGGTACGAGTTTTTGAATTTTTTTGAAAATTCCAAAAAAATTTTTTCGAATTTATTTTTTATCACTCGAAAGCTCTTAAAATTTCCTACAAAACTACGCAATTTACATTGAATCTGGTTGCCGTTGAAGCGAGTTATGCGCATTTAAAGTTTGCCGAAGAGACGCAGACAACGAGAGCGCTCTCGTTTCTCTGCGCCTCCTCGCGGCCGGCAGAGCGAGAGGCGTCGCTCCCTCTTTAAAGGCGCACATCTCAAAAACTAAAAGAGCTACAGAAGAGTTGTCAACTACAAAAATGACTAAAATTTTATGCTGAGCAATTTATCAGTTGACAACTTTTTTCTAGCTTTTGTAGTTTTTGAGATACATAACTTTGAAGTTCAAAAGTCACTTTCAACCAAATTGCTCACCTCAAAATGCCCTGTGTTTTTGGTGTATGATAATGAGTGGTGATAGTCTTCCCTCCGGCAGATGGTACTGGTGAAACAGACACTGGACGGGCATATTGATTGATTTGAGGGTGATAAGCGGCCCGCGGACTCTCTTGTTGGACATGAACAGGCTGAGCGGCAGTTGGTGAGGATTTGCTGGAACAAATTATTGGTTTCGAGCTGAAATTTTCAGCTGAAACTAACACAAAAATGTTTGGGTCCATTCCCGGACGTCCGCCGGCTTTCCGTTGGGTTCCATGAATGTCACAGTAGAACTTGTCTGAAAATTTTTAGATTTTCTATAGACAAGACTTGATTTTTCGATTTGAAGTTGAAAAATTTGAATTTATTAGATTGAGAGCTTCAAAATGAGCCTAAACATGGCTGCTTTTGCTCAAATTTGAGTTTTTGACCTACGCGACGCGGTTGCGTCGCGGTTTTTTTTCAAAATCGTGCTAGCAAAGACAATATGGGGCTCGTTTTGAAGCTGAAAACTTGATATTTGTATTTTTAGCGTTTAGAACTTCAAAATGAGCCCTATTTTGCCTATACTAGCCCAATTTCGGAAAACCGCGACGCAACCGCGACGCGCAGGTCAAAAATTCGATTTCAAGCAAAATTCGTCGTGTTCGAGCTCATTTTGAAGCTCTCAACTTCAGAATGTCAAATATAATGTTTGTTTTATGTTTTTCTACAATTAAAAACCTATAACTCACCCTCAATGAAGTGATGTCCAACGTTTCTCAGTGAGTTTCCACAGGTGGCACACGACAGACAGTCCCCATGAAGATTCTTGCCGGCGGCACGAGCCATGACACCCAGAATCGGTCTAGTGCACATAAAACATACTGGAAGACCACTGGGATTTGGGTGATTCGACAGAGTCGTTGGTGCTCCGTGCTCTTGCTCTTTGAGCAAGCGAAGTGTCTCACTTCGGAGATAGGCTGGCTCATCGGCACGGCCCGCAGCGGCGCGGGCTCTGAAAATTGAGAAAATCGGTTAAAACTTTGAAACTTTTATGGAAAATTAGACAGAGACGCAGAGAAACGAGAGTTCCTGATTTCTCTGCGTCTCCACCGTCCACCTCTCGTTTAGGAAGACGCGCAAACTTCAAAGGCGCGTAACTCCAAAACTACGGTAGCTATCAAAAAGTTTTCAACTACAAAAATGTGTAAAATTTTATGTTAAGCAATTTTGCAGTTGACAATTTTCAAATAGCTACTGTAGTTTTTGAGATATGCGCCTTTCCGCTGAGACAGGGCGAAAGAGAGGAGACGCAGACAACCAGTGGTTCTCGCTTCTCTGCGTCTCTCTTTCTTTCGAATGTTGAATTCTAATTTTTTTTTCCTATTTCCCCGCTATGATTTCTTCCAATTCACAAAGAAACAGAAAATAATTCTGGTGATTTCGAAAAAAAAATTTTTTGTAATCAAAAAATTTTTCCCCATGTATAATGTATCAAATTGGGGAGATTATGGGGTGTGGGTGGATTAACCGGATCATTAAAAAAAAAGGATTATATAAAATGGGGTATGGTTTTTTTTCGGGTCAAATTTTGGCCAAAATTTTCTGTCTAAAATGACGAATTTCGAATTTTTGATTTGAAAATTTTGAAATTGGTATATTTCAATTTTGAGCTATTTCTTACCAATTTCAGTTAGTCTAGACTATTTCAGGGCTAATTAAGATTAATTTTGGGTTAATTTACAGTCATTTCTATTCATTTTTCAGATTATTGTAGGGTAAATTCTGACCATTTTGGACTA